TTAGAATATTGCAGGATTTCTTTATTTAAAAATGTTTAAATAAATCATTAAACAAGACATTGAACTGAATAATACCTGAGAATTAAGACTCAACCACAACCTATTAAGTATTCTTTAGTTAGTTCTAATGCCAAATAAGTATAGTAGTCATTTTGGTTCTATGCTTCTTGACAACATTCGTGATGTTAGCAGCACCAACTTAGCACCAGATATTTGACTTCTCTAAATGATGATATAAATGAATTCGTATAAAGTACTATGATCTGATTAACAATGATAATTGGACAACAATAAAAATGCAGTTATTTTGCAACATAAAATCTTGTCATGACACAAAGGATAGAAGTGTAATATTTCCAAAATAATAAAATTACTTTGCACACAATAAACTGACTACATCTATGATGATGATGCAAAATGATCTCCTGGAGAGCATGCACCAGCTATGAACCATAATGTATTCTTACCTTCTCATTCTAACACAATGCAGGAATTGAAACAGACAAATGACAGAAAAAATATGAAGTAGATGTTAGGAAGAGTTTTAAAGAATTCATTACTTCAGAGAAATCGAAGAAAGATTAGATTATGAATATGAAGTGTGGCATCACTGGCATAAAGTTACACGAAAATTCCAACCAGTTAAAGGAAAAAAAGTATTCATTTGATGTGCCAAATGAGGTGCACACCATTAAGCTGATATAAACAAAAAAAAAACATTATACTGTATTTTTGAAAGGGGAAACTGTAAGGAAAGCAATTTTAAAAGGAAGCATTATGTAAAGATGGAATGCAAACATGATCTTCAAAACAAAGGAAGACGAAAAGTTTACATTTATTTTAAATTCATTCAATTTAGCTGTACAGATTTAAATAAACCGCTTAAAATATGAGAAGGAAATTGTACAGAACACCACAACCTGTAGACCAACATCCAGCTGGATATTATCCATGAATTTTGTCACAGTACACTTTTTTATCAAAGCTACCTTACGTTCATAAAATGGAAAAAAATATCAACAGGTTACTTATTTATGAACATAATGATGGTGATATATATGCATCAGCAGTGTTCCTTACTTTTCGGAAATGTGCTAGCATATCTGGGCTTCTTTCACACATTTCGGTGAGAAGAACTACTGATGTATGGAGAACACCTACAAAACGGGGAAAAAACGTCAATGTTTTATTATACTACTCTGCACTGTAACTGTAATAATGAGAAATCATACATATGGTATAGAAAATGTCCTTTGTGCAACTCAACATGTCATGGTACAGTAAAAGTCATTTTACTGTAATTCCTTTCCTGGGACGTTTACAAAAGTTTGCCTATATTGTTTGTACCATGTGTCTATGCATTTTGCCAGGCAAGATGATGTATAGATCTTATAGGTGCTATCTTTTGCAAAAACAACTCCTCTTTGTACATCTCCAGCTGCATATCCTTCATTTGTAATTTCTGCATTCTTTATTGTTAATGATATTGTTATCAACTACTTTTCAAACATAATGATTATGAATATCCTTCCTTCACTTGTTAATGTTTAAAAGATAGAAGATAAAATTCATAACAACAATAGCATCTAGCCAACATATTCAAATCCATTTCTTATCAATATGGCACCAGATTTATGCCATCCAGGATTTCTTACCATGGTTTTTCTCGCTTAGTAGGTTTTTCGTTGCTGGGAGGAACATCTCCATCAGTTCGGGAACCTTCCTGATAACATGAACTGCACACAATGCGGCCTAAAGATAAATTTCAAACATCATAAAAAAAGAAATTTGGATATTTAATTACTAATATCTGTTTTCATCCTACTTCGACATGGTAAATAGAAAATCTCAGAATTTCAACTACAACAGAATTCAAAAGATCCAGGGGAAACTGCCAGGCAGCAGAGACACAAGTGTGAACTAGTGGTTTGGAAACTAAGAGGGCAAGGGCCACTTCTATTAAACATTCAGCTATGCAACACTATTACAAAAAACAGGCAGATGAAAGTGATGTTTAAGGCTACACTGCAGAATTTTCAAATCGTCTCATCAGCAACACGTTTTATTAATTTTCTATCCTAAATATTAAATTAGACTACTATGAAATATGTACTTCTTAATCTAGTGGCAATTTAGCTGGTTACCTCAGAAAATCGGCATTAATGGAACCTAACTGAGCACTACATATGGTATAATGACTTGACTGCAAAGCACATTACACTGAAGTGACTAATGCAAATAAAAGGTACCTTTTTTCTCAGGTAGGAATTTGATGTTTTGAGTAGCTTTTCCACTTCTCCTGCTAGATCTCTGCACATTTCTGATGAGCCCATGCAACCTAGAGTACACAATGCCAACCCCTGGACATACTGTGTGCTG